GGCTCTAAATTCCGAACAGCAAGTAATGAGACGAAAATTTAAAATTCTTAGACAACTAAGTTGAAAAAAGACTGGCAAAAATATATAAATTAATTTTAAAATAAATCTGTGAACACTTTGTTGAACCTTTTTAATATCAATATAGACTCAGACTCAGTAATCAACATGGACTTCTAGTGCCCTAATTTCATGTGCATTTCAGAGAAAGATTTTGAAACATCACATATCATAATTTTATTCCCACTTTGGACAGTCAATTTAAGAGTTCGTTTTGCTGAGCAGCATCTGAGCTGAATGGAAGAGAAAAACTCATCAACCGTACTGATATGCTAGCCAGTAGAAAGGAATAAAGCATTTACACAGCGTTACAGTGAACACTTAGCAAGATTCAATTGCAACTAATTTTAACTTTAAGACTCATTTCTTTTAGCTAAGTTTACTTAAGTATCATTTGGCAAAATACTTCATTTTTTAAAGATGCAAATAGATTTTTAAATTTTCCACTGAGGAATAATCAGAGTCAGACATACACATTTCAGATGCGCTGCATATATAAGAGTTTTACAAATCATTTCATAATTCCTAAAATTAAAATTTTACAGTCACCCTTGGTTTACCACTAGCAAAGTAGTATTGATCAGAAAATAGGGCAACTTATTTGGAAACTAATGTTATTAACCACCAAATCATCAGTACATTTTAAGGACAACTATTGAGATAAAATCACTCCGGTTTCTGCATGGTTATTTGTTTAATAAATATATAGCATATAAAGACAAAAGACAAAGTATGAAAATCATGTCCAGAACTTGCGACAGTGATATACAGAAAGATAGATAAAGGCATTTCAATAGTTAAATATACTCAAGTACGGGAAATAGAATTCACTGAATATTTGAGTATTGATTTAAGACTTATCAGGGCTTTCGAAATTAACCAACGGTAAATGAGTGAATTGTATTTTTATCAGATTCATGAATTTTAGAAAGCCAAATTTCTCAAGTCCAATCTCTCTTTCATGGCTAAATTTTTAATTTATGATTTATTTAAGAATTCTAGTAATATCTCGGCTAAATCCACGAATTTGCATCGCAAAATAAATCACTGCACATGAATTAAAAAGCGTGATAACTAAAAGACTGAATTAAAGACGATTTGATTCAAACTACTTTGTCTATTCAATGGAACATAAATTTTTAAGCGGCCCATTAACAGGACAACTGATTTAGATCCACAACAAGAATTAGATTAATGCTCAAAGGGCTACTGATAATGGACCTGCACTCTCAATCGAGATAAATATAGAGGAAAATTTAGAAATCTTTTCAAATATCCGTTTGTTTAATTGTGAAATTTCAAAAAGTGAATTAATTGGTAATAAATATTGTCTACATAATAATGGAACAAAAGTTATAAACTTGGCAGTTTCAATAAACTTGAAAGGAAATATGAATCAAGGAGAAGGAAATGGAGTGTGATGCTCGAATAAATAGTAAATTGAATAAAAGAGCACTTATTGATCCCATTTTATTTGTATCTTGAACTAACCAGGGCTAGCATTAAAATCAGCAAGGTAAGTAACACGGAGAGAGAATATTTGCAAAATTTTCAGGACAAAAAATGTTAAAATTCATATGATTGAAAATACTTATGCAGCCTTAATATTTTACCTCGTTTTAAGTAACATTCAAAAGGGACTTTAAGTTCCCCTTTCATTACAATATTACTAACATTCAAAAGTGGTGAATTTGCCATTTACCATTAAACGACAACCAATATCTTGAAAATTTCACTAAAAGTTTTAATGATAAGACTTTCTAATGGTACCGGTAAGTTAAAATGGACCAATGGAGGGACAGGTACCAAAAGAGATGCTTTTATTCATTCATATTATATATATATATTTATATATTTATATAAAACGACGTGAGAAAATGCAAGCCTAATTCAGTGATAATACCTGAAATCGGACACCAGCAATTCCCGAATCTGAAAAGACGAGGAAAAGAAAGGTTTCTTGGAGTTTGTCTTCCCCCATTATCGGATTTCGCATGGTAGAGTATTTACACAAGGGTTGCTCAAGGTCTAGTTTTAATAATACGTGTAAGTGGCAAGTCCTAGGCTGCCGTGGTGATAGGTTTTGATTTATAACCGTCTGATAAGAACTGCATATATATATATATATGCAGTTCACATTCCAAATATATGTTACCATAATTACAGATTAAGCAAATTCAGATTAATATTCTCCTCTCTAAATCTTTTTGTTTCGATCTATTTTTGCTAAAAAGCACCTTTGAGTAGTCAACCATCTAATTTAAAACTTTAGTCCTTGATTATTCCAATCAAGATATCGTCATCTTACTGTGTTTTGACTGATAGCAGAATTTGTTTTTAAGGACGCTAATAAGCTCAGCTCATAAATACAGGCAAATTTTATTCAAAATAACTTAAATTTTTATAATCCAAGGCTTATTGCTTATGAAATAGTTATATCACCTACTGGATAATAGTAATTAAAATTAATTTAAATAAACAATAACCACACAAGACCAAACGTTCGAATACCAAAGTCGAAAAAAATAATAAATTAAATCAGAATAACTAATAAAATAACAATGTCTTATTATATTCACAAACATCAAATAGGTCAGATCTGTTTGATTACCATTTTTTAAGAACGAGAAAGCACTTTCTTACCTAGCTTAAATTCTTTATGGTTGTGAAGCAACGGATATTTCAGAAGTTACAAATAAAGAAACGTTGACCGATGGGAAAAATTTTTTTCTGTTGTATTTCTCGCATAGATATTTGTGAAACCTCTTATTATTTTTTAGTTTCCAAAGCAATTTTTATCAAACTATGCTTGAAGAAACAATTATATGTAGGATTTTTTTTCTATTAAAAAGCCAAACTTTGCCAAACTTTGCCAACTTTGTGGCCCACCTCACGAGTAATGTTTGTATAATCTTTAAGACTAGAAGGGATCTCGGAACACTGTACACAGCGATTTGGGATAACTCTCAAATACGATGACTAGACTTTGTGACCCAATAAACTCTTCTTTCATGAAATTGACTATCTATATTTTATTCCATGTTACCGTGAAGGTGGTGTATTCTAACAGTGGAATTTGTACCTCAGACGTTTGAACTGATAATTGTTTGTTGATGTAAAATAATTTTCATATGAACTTCGACGTCTAGTCAAGTATAATGCACCTAAGCATAGTGATAAAGTAGACAGAAAGAAAAAGCTAACTTTACTTTACGAATCACTACGAATCTAAGATAAGCATTCTCTAACTCGCAAGAGATAAATTTTTGTGCATCGGTTTTGATTTGTTTGCAAGGATTTTGTTGTGGAAATAAAATAAAGACATAGCAAAATCCTTGTGAAGTCGATTATCTATTTTGAGTTACCCCAAAAAGGCTTAAACTTTCCGAAATGCCCCATATTGCTAATCGTGTAAGACTTTAACGTCATTAGAGCTGAGATTTTCTGCTGCCATGTTTCATAGTAGAATGTTTTGTGTTAAAATGACTACTGAAATCATTGAAGACAAATAGATTTTACTACTATTATGCTGATATAGAATCTCTATGGTAGCACAACTCATAATACTTCATTAAAAAAAACTAAAATAGTTATGAACAAAGAGTGTCCATTTTTTGCATTTGACAGTGGTGATCGAATTTCGCCACGACATGGAATGTCGATACTCAGTTAAAAAATCATTTTGATTAGCAATTGTGTGCATATATTCGGAAGTAATAAATTCAATTTAATAAATTTAGGTACTAGGTTGAAAAGAAACGAACACATTCAATTAAGTAAATTAAAATAGTTTTAAGAACCGTCATTTTGCTCAACATCCATATCCAAACTTTCTCAATTTTTGATTTCATCCTTAGTACATGATTTAGTCAACTTTGACTAGAAAATAACTAAAAAACATCTTTTATTTTTATTCAGGAAATATTGGCACTTTTTTACTATAAATTATTTTAAAATAGAATCTATTTGTTTAGAAGGGCTAATTGCCTAATTATACGCATAACTGGCCTTTTGATTATTTCCATAGGCTGTGAAAAATGAATACACTGAATTTAAAAAATTCCTGCTTAGGCGATTTCCATTAGATTTTGCATAAACAAGTTGCCAATGGTTTCCACAATATACTAACTGAGAAGAATGCTTTCGTTGAGAACTGAATAAACTTCCGTGTTCTTAACAAGAAATTTTAATTAAATAACTATTTCAGTATTTAATTTTTGCATAACTACAAGCAGACTACATACTTAGCCATTTCCAGTTATTTGTTCGCATTGTCATTGATGATATTTAAATTTTTATTATATAATAATCGAACTTATGATTAAGCTAATTTAAAAAAATATAAGCGAAAGAAAACAGAAAATGAAATATTGAAAATCATCCACTCCTATCGCAATCCAAGCAAAATGAAATTGGCTTCTTTTAGTTATGAAATCAATTTATATAAATGATGCTCAATAAGAACAAGAAAGAAAATATTTAAATTTACCCTATTAGTTTTTCTCAAATTAATTTAAACTTTATTAAAAATACCCAGTGATCATTGTCCAAGCATTGATTTATTTTGAATTAATCGAATTTGATAACCAATCTCAAGTTTTCCACTCACGACAACATAAATATGATACATTAAGACATTTTGCCACTCTATCCCCTCAGAGTTGCATTTTTTTCAAAATATGAAATGTTATTAGTTCAGTTAATTGAACCTGCTTTTATACATTTACATATTAAAAAAATCTCAAGCCTTTTTTACGTTCGAATAAAGCAAGAACACTTGTATCACATTCAGAGCACTAATTTCTTTCAATTTTAAATATGAATAATTGTAAGATGTGCATGAATGCCTATGCTCAGTGCGATATACAATTCCAGTATCTCGTTTCTATTCATATTATTTAATTCAAATATGACTAGTAAATTTTGCAGTGAGGAAATTTAAATTATAAAGCAAATATCAGTAGTGGATATACAATTTGAGAACTGCATTGAGTTTGACTTACTCTCCTTTTGGATTGAATACTATCGATTTGAGCTCTTGTAATTTCCCCAAGCCCGCGGTCTGACCACAATTTGACGGTTATTGGAATGTACGTAGCAAACAAGATCATCATTGGTAAAATATACATTAAAATGAAGAGGGCGATATCATATCTGCAAAATAAACAAAATCAAAAAGCAATAGACAAGCTAACTGAATAAGCATTTTTAATGCCTATAGATAGGTGTCTATCGATTTGATTCTCAATTATTACATCGTAAATAACTTAAATTTTATATGAAAAAATTCAATTTTCATTAATCTTTCCAACATTTTGAAATTATAAAAAATTCATTAATTTTAATAATAAATCATTGGAAATATATTTACTTATTAAAAATTTGGATTGACATCAAAGTTGCAAGGATCCTATTTTAAGCCAACTATGATTGGTCCTCTTAAATTTGCATTCAACGAAATTTTCCAAAGCAGCAAAATTAGTTCAGTTCTGAACAAAACCTCCTGTTTAATGGTTGTCGAATAGGTGTTTTGCTTTTAAGTTAATCATTTAAAATTAGACTTGTTTGGTAAATTTTGATCTAAAATAGGAAAAACTATAAAAAAAATAAAGTCAGCTAGAAGAAATTAACTTTACTAACTAATTTAATATCCGAATTTTCTATCGGAATAAAATGATTGCGTGTATAACAACTTAAAGACAGGCAAATTTGATATTTAAAATGTATATTCTTGCCTAAGACACAATTTGACCTATTAAGTGAGCCAAATAAATATTCAAATTTAATTGAGTTCTAGTGGATTGCCATGTGTCAGTGTAGCATTAAGTTACACGCAGTATCTTGACCTGCTAAGCATCATTCACCAGTGCACTGAAATTAAAATAGCTAAACCATTTAAAGCTCTTGATTTAAGTACTTAAATCCCCAGACCCATCTCACATTACTCATTCTCTAAATAAATTCTGCATTTAAGACAAAATGACTCCATGTCATTCTTATTATAAGTTTTATTATTACTTTTAAAATTATCATGCAGATTTTTTAAAGATTTAGTAGGTTTTGATGATTATTGCTTTCTATAAATAGTCTTGTGCGTAATGGAATGGTTGCTGTTTCAATAATTATAATTTTGAAAAAATAATATTTAACTCACTTAATTTCTTTTTGTTGATATTTATCTTTCTCTAATTTTAACAAATTTTTATTTTAAACTCAATAAGAAGTTAAAATTTAAAAAAGATTTCTATTTCTCAATTTGGCTTTAAAGACCTATCCAATTGACTGCATTGAATTTAAACGAAGCAAAACGTCAAAAATATACTTGAGAATGACTTATTATTATTATGAAATTTATACGATGAATTTTTATGAAATTGTATTTTACGCTTTTTTGAAGCAGCATAAATATTAATAAATACAAAAAATATTGCATAGGGTAATAATAGAGAAAATATTTACGAAAAATAATAGTTTGGGAGAATAATTGAAGTACGCAAGCATATTTTCATAATGATGGGCCATAATTACTGAATATTTTTATAGCAAAATGTATCTTATATCTATGATTTGTCATTGGGGACTAATGTAGATTCATTTATTATGCAAATGCGATATCCAAACAGACAGCATTTTGTCCAAACCATCATTACTTCCTATGTACAGGTAGAGTGAATCCTTGAACCCAAATAGACAAATTATCAATAATACAGGCATAAATTTACTTGAATGCATTAAAAATAGCAAAATTGGAATAGAAGTAGATAGAAAAAAAGTCGTAGGTATAAATAAATAGAACGCATTGTCATGGGCATGAAGAGGAACAATCAAATCGGAGTCAGCCATCACAAAACTGACTAATTTTGTAGGCAAGAACATAAATGTAAATTCAGACAAAAAATAAAACTAAATCTTAGAACACTCTTACATAAGGAGATTTGAATTTATTATCTAATTGTGTTTATTTTTTTAAAATCTTCGTATTCCAATATCATGCCATGAATAGAAACGTTATGCATTATCATTATTTATGGTGATGACAATCAATGTCATCTCACTTTAGAGAACTTAAAACTGATAAATGATCTGAACGTTTTAGCCCAAATAAAACACATCAAATTTCATTTTGAAAATGAAACCCTTCATGTAGTCATAATTTCAAAAAATATAAGAAATAATCTCAACTAGTGTTTCCCAGCGACAGATAGTACTTTTGAACTCGAATTTATTAATTCTGATAATTTAAAAAGTTTATATTTTAAATAATGGGTTCATTTGTTTTTAGCAAGAAATTTCGCTCTGGGAGCTATAATTTTTATATCCATGATGTTACATCGCAGATGTTAATTTTATTGTTCAATAATTACGAATGCCTTGAACACATTGTAAGCAGTTTATGTCTCAATTTTAAAATTTTATACAAGTTTGAAATAATAATTATAATTATATTAACAGTTAGTTCCTTGTGTTTGACATATTTTAACTATTCTTGGCCACTTAATAGGTGAAGTAGGTGAGCCGTTTTAAAACTAAAGTCACATATACTGAAAAATGAAGTTTTCTTGGGAAGAAGAGGCAAGTTGCTGATTCCGTCTGTGTAAATGCTAAAAAATATCAAGAAGACAAAATTTTGGTGTAAAACGAATTAATTTGAATGCGTACTGAACCAACTTTTACGGTCAATGAAAAAATTACCTTCTGTTACATCTGAATCTTCGATTAAGTTTTATCCAGTGTAATAAATATTAATACTGAATGTACTAATTTCACTGCCAAATACGTAACTTTTATTAAGAATTAATGGGCTAAATAAATATGAGGGTCTCCAGAATATGTAAATTTTTTCCAATAAAATAATAATGAATTGATGCTAGAAAAAGTATTGGAGCTAAGTTTTTATATAACACAATCTGCGATCATGGATATTATGTAAAATTTCACTCAATAAAAAAGCCGAAATATATCATTTTATCTTGTAGAGAGTGATAACGTTTTTTTCATGACTAAAATCATATGTTCATTTTTGACTTCTTCAAAATTGCAAATATTAATGAGAGCATCCAGCGTTTTAATGCTTCCCTAATCTGAAACATTAATATGATATTGTTATGTTATAACAGTGCAGAAAAGCATTGTTAATCAAGAGTTTTGCTGGCAAAACTAGGACATTGTTTCAAGATAATGTTAGATACTTAACACCCGACATACTTCCCGCAATCTAGGCGTCGTTTGTTAAATACCGCTGTCATAACATTTTATGTGAAACGGAGCCAAATAGCTAATTATTTTATACCTAGACGGCATATTTTATGAGAAAATCACTTCATCTATCTTGAGGTTTTGGTGCAGTCAATCGGGATCCCAGGCGAGACGATATTTTTATAGATGCATTTGAAATCATGAAAGAGTTTCTACAATGGATTCTGAAGGTAATAGACGTCTGAGCTTCATTTTTTAAAAGTTTTTCAATGTCATATCTACTTGAAAAACAATGGAGTCGAAAATTAGATATCGTGGTTATTTTCACTTCAAAATTCACCATGAGAAAGTAAATCGTAAGTGTATGTCTCCTTTAGAAATTACAAATTGCCTTTTCTCACCGCATCTAATAAGAATAATAGACGATCTAAACAAATTTTATGATAATAAATTAAAATGAAATTTTTTAGTAATTTACTTTACTCCCTAAACTTTTTAGTTGCAACTAGCGGAAAATTATGAGCTTTCAGTCTTCATATGGTATTGCATTGTGAAAATTCATTTACAGTATAGGTGACTAATAAAATATACTGCTTAAAATTATTTCACGTGCAGTTCAATCCAGATACTTATCTGGCAGTCATTTAGAGTTTATTGTTAGAGTAAGATAAACGAGTAGATTTCACTATTTACAACTTTTAAATAATCGTTCAAAACACTAAGATTTTAACAATTCATTTGTTGAAATGGCGGTAAATGCTTGGAGGGTAACGGACACAACTGGGTTTAAGTTTGATGTCATTAATTGTGGCAATTTTTTGCAAATAAATTACAGCGGCGTTTACTGGCTTGAGCTAAAAATCAGTGATCAGGACTGAGTGGAAAGTATAAAACTTAGTATAATTACAGTTTCAAGTTTAATGAGTACAATGAGGTTAATAAAACACTACATTAGTGATATAAAACTTGCGATTTAAATGGAAAACATAATTTTTGACTGCTTTAGTTCATTATATATATAAAGTTCATTTAATTACAGTCCTCTCGAAAACTTTGCATAAAACCTCATTCATCTAACGGTTATATGAACTACTCTAGCCAATATAACAAAAAATCTTCATAAAAATATGTATATTGAAATTTCCATTTATGTTACTGTCTTAAACCAACCGTAATATGACCTTATACTTTTTGTTTCGTCAAAATTTGACCGCCATTTATTGCTCGCAATTAAATAATTCTTAAAAATTCGTTGAATTGAACCAACTCAATTTCGTAAATGAGTGTAATTTTCATTGAGCAGATTGAAAGCCATGATGTGATTTTCAGTTGACAAAATGAGTTTTCAACGGCTTAGCTTAATTATTAGATGAATATCAAAATTTATTTTATTAGTAAAGGTCGAACCATAATTTAAGGAGTTGATGTCTTGAAATTTATTTGTCACAACGCTTTTAACCAATTAAATTTTTTCGGAAACTTTTAACAAATATATATTCACTTTTAAATTTGAATTATAATGACTTCTGCAACTTTTAAAGTACACAATTTATTAATTGTATTTTTTAGACGAAATGTTCAATTTAATGGGTTCATACAAAGTCATTTGATAACAATAGCTCTTTTCTGCAAGTTAGAAAAGAAAAAAAGGTGTGAGAAGAAATATTAATAATAGAATCATGAGGAGAATGCCAATTTTAGATGAATACTGCATTTTCAAGCTTCAATAAATAAAGTTATAAGGAAAGCATCTGGGATTAGATGAAAGACGAACTTACGCGAGACCCGATTCATCAGTCCAATTCAGAATACAACTGAGTTGATAATCTGGTTCATCTGTGGAGTTCAAGTGCTGAGTCGATGTCGTTGTACTGTTTTCATAAGACGAACACGGTGTATGCACTTCAATATGTGATGCAATTAAGGCGGGAAGGCCTATCAAAAAAGACACGACCCAGATGCAGCCAATTATGCATAAAATTGTGGAGGGTTTTGACCGTGGTCTCAGTGGATACTTGATTGCAATGTACCTAAAGGCAGTAGAACACAAATGTAATAAAGTGGAAGGTATTAGCAAACAAGCACAACCAACTCCTTTAGCCATGCGTATTTACACACTTTGCTTTACCTCTTCTGGAATGGTCAGCCACTTTTCTCTTTTTGTGCTAACATTAACATTGTAGTGTCTATTGCGTGGTTGCGTGAAAAATGAATAAATGTTTTGCGTTAGCACCCTGTAGTGTCTATTGTGTGGTTGCACTAAACATAGCGTGCTTTTTCCGATATAACAGGCAATTAATTGAAATTAAGTGAGCACAATTTAAGAAATATTTAATTTACCTTGGCGGTTTTGGTTAACATGACTCGTCTTCAATAAATTTATTAATCAACAGAACATTTTCAATTTTACTAAAAAGGATGAGCTTGCTTGGGTATATATGAATGTACGCACCACAAATGCATGACTAAATAATTTTAATTTCATTTGCATAATTATACATATCGATGGCATCTGTTACTTAATTCACAAAACAGGGACCTGTTGAAGGAGGGAAAAGATCGGCATTTTGGATCAAATTTCCCTCCTGCATTGTTAGATGCAAAGGAGGACAATCGAGAGAGCTAACATGAAGTTACTATTATGACAATTAATTATGATAAAACAAATTAAATCTGTGAAATAGTAAATTGCTGACTCAAAAGTTTTGAATGTCGATAGGTTGTGAGAAAATTCTGCTAATGGAAATGTTTATCACTGACATTGGGTTAACTAGTTCTCGGGCGCAAAGATAGATGCTTCAAGTATCTAAGTTTTAATTGCCTTCGTCCTGAATATGTATATATCAAAATAATTCCATTCTCACCTTCAAGGATAAGAGATCAAAAATAAAATATCACTATCACAAAATTTTTCTTAAGAATTTCACCATCTTTCCAACTGTATCGTAAGAATTCAAATAAAGATGACGAAAACTCGAACGAACCAAAATGAGTTACAAATACAAATACAAATAATCTTTCAGACAGGTCAAGCAAGCATAGTTATGAAGTTTTAGAAAAAAAAACATATTGGCTTCTAAAGTATCTCAGATTAATCTGAGATACACAATTTTTATCAGTTTTGATAATTTGCTATATTTTAGAAAGATTAACTTTTCAAACATTATTTTACTGAGGATTAGGATCATTCAAGCTCAACGTAATATTTCTCATCTTTTGCCTTCATTTACTTAATTATGATTAAGTATTTTCTTGAGAGAATTTTTCATATAAAGCTCTACTAACTTACGTTGTTTTATCATTTCACTTTCTCATGTTAAAAGTCAAAAGTACCATTTACTTCATCAATAAGTGGACAAAAATTGAATCGGAATGTCAAGGTCACCCATCAAGATTGAAAAAAACTAATCACAATGCACTATAATCCCTTGACAAGTATTTTCTGCAAGTCAAGGAATGAAGTACTAAGTTTGAATTTTCATAAGTCAACTACCCATTCAATGCGCATTGAGAGTTTAAATAAGACTATTTGTCTGTTTACTTCCACCTTTTTCAAAGCAACTGATGATAATGTCATATACCATTACAATAATATCACCGAAAACTGAAGTTGCCCAGTGCTAATAATCTAAGCTTTTAGAAGTTATTGAGTATTTTCTTTGTTATGGGCGGGAAAATTCAATAAGAAGTGTATTTGCTTTTTAATAAAATGTTAGAGACTTACAATATGCGGCTTTTAGGGCTTAAATATAATTCACAAATCTTATTTTAAGACACAAATCAAGGCATTTCCCATGTAATGAATAAGTAGTGACATAAATTGCTTTAAGCAATTAGTATGTAGAAAAGTTAATCAAATGAAGCATGCTTAACTTCCATGTGTTTTATTACCAATAATGAGTATACTATGCATTTTATTCCTTATTTCGTGATTGGCTGATTTATTAAATAAATGAGAAAAGTTAAAAAGCAATGCACTCTAACCGTTGCACTCTGCCGATAAAATGCTGCAAAAAATATTAAAAAAGATAATCATTTTGAATTTACCTATCAGCTGTTAGGCCGGTGAAGGTAAGAACACTCAGTGCAATGCTGAAAGCTGTGAAGAATTGGGAGAACCGACAGTAAGCTAATCCAAATGGCCAGTCATTTGCGATATTTACATAAACGTTTGGAATAATCTGAAACACGGAAAGCATATCTCCAAGCGAAAGGTTCACAAGGAAATAATTCGTGACTGTTCGCATACGTTTAGTTGTAAGCACAATCCACACAACTAATCCATTTCCAAAGAGGATAAGTATTGACATGAACGTAAATATTACAATTTTACTGATGCAGTCGGCAAGGGAAGTGGGAGGGGGAGGAGAACAACTGAAATTAGAAGAATATTCCGTACCCTCCATTGTGAAAAGTGCGATTGAATTTATGAAGATTGTGCTTACTAGATAGTCGATTCCCAGGGGCTAATCCTATTGGTTAGCGTTCGGACCAATGATTAACATTCAGAAAAACATAGCTAATGACCGTGAACCATTCTCAGACAACTCTCTTCGACCAGTTTAATTTTAAAAAATGTGAAATTTGACTCTAAATTTGCAAAATCTGTGCAGCTTATGTAATATAATTGAAGCAATTACTTAAATTTAATTTTTACCTTAAGACGATAAAAGGATGGCAGAAAAATCTCATTAATATTTGATGCCCTACTACATTATTTTAATAAATTTATTATTGTTAGCCGAATTTAGATTGCTTTTAAACAATGAAGTATTGATCAAATTTTTGTCAAGTGTGATAGGCACAGTCTCAAGGTCTCTGTGGCAATGAAAGTGCTAATGCTGCCCTGTACCAAATGAATTATTTCAAGAATATACAAGTAATCGATGAAATGGCAATGGGCAACACAATCACAGGTGACTTGAAATGGAAGACTTCAAAGTTCCATTCAATTCGCTCGAAAGATTCGAAAATAGGTAGATTAGAGAGACCTTTGCACGAAATGAAATCTAAACATTATCATACTTTCTTTAGTTTTTTTCTTTACAGGAAAATAAAATTCGCTATAGTTGACCATCATGTAGCCTCCATTCCGAGAAATTCAAACATTGCGTTTACCTGATTAAATAAGACGATAATTTAAGGGAAGATGAACCAGAAGCACGTGGCTGGAACTCGCAAATGCCAATGCTAAAGTCCCTTTTAAACAAAATTCCCATGAAAGTGCCTAGCGTAGTTGTTATACATTCCGTTATGGGAGATAATAAACACAAAATTAATAATTTAAATCTTAAAACCGTAGCTTAAAATTATTGTGCCTTTCCAACTTTTTGAGGAAAACGAATTGATATGACAACAGGTTAGACAAGTAGTTAAGGCAAATCAAGAGGGGAGGGAGGGGGGGGGGAGGGAAAGATTGGAATTAAATTTTGTAAAGTGAACCGCATGAACGCAAATGCACAATTTACTGAACTTCGTCTAGTTGTTGTTTTAGCGTTGTTTTCTGCATCCTTTTAATTAACACCACTTTTTCATTTGTCGGAATTGTCGCTAAGCAAGTTCACATGATTCTAAAACCCTAAAGTGGTAAAACTTTTGCCATTATTGTTGTTAACAGTAATAATTGAACATTAGCAACTTTTGTGTTCACCTTCGAATAGGAAAGTATTTAGAAACTGAAAACAGAAATGACTGTGCACCATATTTAGTGAAGCTTTGATTGAAGCAAAGAATGAATGATGGAATCAAGTTTGAGTGCCCTGAACAATGTCAGAAGTTCAAGAATCTGCCTCAACGCTAAGAAGGATATTTTCATTCAGTGTAAAGCCCAGGTTTGTCAAACTAGTAAATAGTGGGATACTTTTGTTTCGTAAGAGCTTAAAACGGTTTAAATAGGATAAATCTCTGAAAAATTTGAAGGTAACTGAGTATACCAGTCCGCATATATGAGTGGGCGCAGAAATGCATTTGTAAAGTGAAAAGTTAATGATTTAGAGGGAGGAAACTGCATCCAGTCAGAGTGGCCAAATACTGGTATTCATGAATCAAAGGAGAGTGAGTTGCACCTAAGTTGAGATGGGAATATTTTTTGTCAAACGAAAACCACTTTTCTCTCTATCGTGCTTATTTTGTTCATTTGTCGAGATTCCAAGGGTTGGACAGACGTTGCAATCACGTATTTAGTCCACACAAGTAGTTACAGATTCTTAGCCCCAAATATTGCCTTAGAAATCCATTCTTGTCTTACATTCATTCATTAAATCCTCTGAAGAAATCCATTTAATTCGTTATCAATACTCTCTCACAATCTCGTTGTTGCATGGCTTCACCCAAATCCATACCCTGCCTTTCTTTCTATATTGACGGTTAATAGAAGGCATAACTTGAGGAATAGAAGGAGGCAAATCTGGCATCTTTATTTTCCATACTTCTGCTAAATCTGTAATTGTTAGCCTTGAATCCTCCAAGGTTATGTATTGCATGAAGTTTGATTCAAACATGAAGGGAATAGAGAATAAGTAACCTAACAATTCATTTTAATTATCAACTTTTTGGGAATAATTAAAAGACATAACCAATTCACTCTAATAGTGCAAATGCCACAAGTATGGAAGTTTGCTCTTACTAACGACGTAATACTGCATTTAATCATTCAAACGTTTTTTTCGATTTTTTGTTTAGAAAATGGAAGGTAATCGAGATGGCTGTGGTGCCTCAAATCTGAAATTAACCAGACACTTGGTATACAAAATGTTGTGTTTTGGAGATAGAGGAATTTAATATTTTTTTACATATAAGCGAAAATTACTTGTGAGATGGTTAGAATTTTCTCAAGTGTGCGTGAGACGAGAAGTCACGCATGACAAGGATTACATTATTGTCCTCAATGCGTTGACAAGTTGTGCGCAGTAATTATAAAATCTTCTAAATGCTACTAATTAAATGAATTTATTTCAGCTGGATATTGAATATGGCGTGGATAAAAGTAATTAAGCCCATCACGAACACAGAGTAAAATTGAGAAAGGGGATTAAGCGGCAGAAAAATATTATTGATTAATTGAATCAATGCTCTTCCTAATTTGCTCACACATTTTGTTTGGGTAAGTTTTTAAAACAAACTTTTGTTTTTGATTTAAAAGTGGGATCCTAATATATTTATTTAATTATTAATCTCCTTGTAATTTAAATTGTCTGCTCTTAATATTTCGATATAAGATTAAGATATCCGCTGAAAAATACACATGTTTCTAACAACATTTTAACCATTAGAAATAAATAATACACCTGACAAAGTACCTACCAAGTACGGTTAAAAAGTTTTTTTTTAAAATTATATTTAATTTCTAGCATTAAGACTTAAAATAACTTTTTAATAAAAGCAAGTTTTCGTAGGTGCATCAATGAAAGCCCAACAATTTTAACCTCTAAAGATGTTAAAATATATAAATCATGAATCGCAATGATGAAAATAATCATTCAATGAAATGCACCGCTTAACAAGCCCTGAATAGCGTGCAAATCAGCTTATCAAGAATAATAATGAAAATACGTGTTTGAGCAAGATGAATAACCCTCTTTATAAGCAAATGGTCTCTTGAATGACATCAGAAATAAAACTTTCAAATTATTTCCCTATTGCATGTTTCAGCATGAGATGAAATCTTTATTTTCAATTATCAAACAAATTGTAACTAATTTGAGCAACATGAAATAATTGTACTTTATTTCCGTGAAAAAGTTTCTAAAAAACGTCTGAAATTGTCTTTTGAAATAAATAAAAGAGGAACCGCAGTTTCAATAATTCAAATAAAGCCCAAGCTAGTTTGTTTGATAGATTGATAATGGTGATTTTATCTTAATTTTTTGTTGGGCGTTTGACATTTTGTAAATAGATCAGATAAACATAAAAGCGATGTCACATAACGGGGAATGAAATTAATCAAATTAAATAAATTATCCTCTTTCAAAATGAAGTTAAAAATGTTTTTTCTGTAGTTCTATGTCAGCATTAATAAAATTTTCAACTTAATCTCCTAACTATTTTCTATTTTGAGTTGGCCGTGCTTTAGTTTCTGATCCAAAATCTTTGTTTATTTAAATTACCTCCATTCTCCATCACTGCACATTTACATCTCACATTCTTTGCTCATTCGATCAGCTTTTCTCTGCTCCTGCGATATTTAAAACCACATAAAGATCACCTAATCACCACTGGCCACCAGACTCATAAAATTGATCAGGTTCGATTTCTCTTGCTGGTAATAAATGTTCTTTCTCCCATTCTCTTTTTGTACTGAAGGTGATGGACGATTAAAGGAAGATTCCATCTTACAGAAGGGTAGTCATTATTCAACCGCAAATATCTCTACCTAAATACTGGTTGGTCTACGGTCTCGAAGTTTCTTTATCTCGAAATTTGCAAGACGTGATATCAGTATTTATTCGACAACAAATCAAAGAGTAGCATATCAAATTTAACCGCCCTTTACCATCGTCTAAGCAATGTTGTTCATACTATGAGTTACAAAGCAGCCAAACAGTAATATTACTTTCTTAACTCATTAACAGTCTCTTTCAAAATAGACTCCATTGGTACTAAACTCGTAACAGAAAGCCCTATTGTCTTTTGAAACATGTTTAATTTGTATGTAGCCTCCGCTCGATACCACCAAAACTCATCACGTCGGCGGCATCAGTCTGCTGTGAGACACGCGTGAGTGCGGTTGGGTACATTTTTCCAAAAAAATTAATCGGGCGTTAAATTGGGGAACGGTATTGCAGGGTATAGTGGGGTGGACCCAATACTTTTACCAAGTATAGAGCTGTACAGAAGCAAAGAAAGGAGAGGCAAGTGATGCTTTAATGAAGAACAATAGAAGGAAAAGTGGGTTAGAGGGAAAAATTAGGTGTGATGGCAAATGGCCGCTACTGAGTGGAGATAAAAATAGAGGCCAGATGAGAGATTTGTTCATAGAAATTTGGTGAAAGAATTAGGAGTTGGGAGGATGGAATTGAAGTGGGATTTTAGGGTATATTTAGCAAGGGTGCCTTGTGATATGAGGTTGATAAGGGATCATTATAACAAACCACAGTTTAGGGCTCTTCTTGCTGCTGAGGATTCTTTCAAGTTTATGGCCAGAAAACGAGGTTCCATTTATCGAGCATTCTGTTTAAACATAAACAGAGTAATGGTCATCAACTCCAAAATGACAATTTTAGTTATTTTTAATTAACAATATTTAAATTCCTATTCTTAACAAAATTGACAATGTTAAATGAATCCTTACTTATTTAGCTAATTTGCTATCTAATACTTAATTAAAATTTTACTGAATTGTCAAATACAGATTTAACACCGCATCCACTGCTGTTTTGTTTCAGCCAAATGTTTGCACAAAAAACTT